CCCCCCCCCCCCCAACCTCTAAACTCGCATTGCGTTAATCAAAAGTGCTGCCGCAGACGAACAAATAATATGAGAAAACGTAGGCGCAAGATTCATCGGATTTTCCATACCAGCTATAAAGGAATATAAATGGCGGTTATAAAATTATCATTGCAATCAATATGGGTTTTCTGTTTCGGAATGCATGATGTGTAAAGTCTAGCAAATGCCAAAGACGACAAATTAATCATAAAATCGATGAGTGCCGACAACGTGTGCAGGACAGGTTGTGAACGTCCTCCACACAGATTGAAGCAGGTCTGAGTGACCCTTTCCTTACAGATTAAGAGTAAAAAGGATTTCTAGCCAATTCCACAAACATTTTTCGTCAAAACAATATCGATTCTGTCAATTACCTCTGAAGCATCATCGCAAATATTGGAGATCTCCCGTTTGCCTGGAAAATGTCTGCGATATGTACCGACCGCGCCAAAATTGTATTCCATGACGTTGTCAACTTCTTCTACATTGTGGAAGTTTACGTGTCTTTATTCTTAATTAATCAACACTTATGTGAACCAGAAGATCTTACATTTTGACAAGGGTCTTAAATAGTATGAACTTATTTATATAGTACTGATGTTCTTCATGTTCGGGTGTATTTAAAAAAAAAAAAAATGATTAGTTTAAGTGGCTTGTAACTTTCAGTTATTGGCAAGTATTTTAGATGTAGGTATCATCAACATAATTTAGATCATTAAGGAAGATGGATACAAAGTTCCAGAAGAAGAACGAATTAACAATTCTACCCCCATGCAAATCGAACACATTGTCATGTTTCTGTGTACGACGATTAAGCATCTAACCGCCACACTACAGATATCAGTAGTAGTCAAGACTTGCAAAAATGTTCAATAACTTCTACACAAAATAGACAGATTATCTTTACAACAGAAGGGCAGATGAGGACGTGGGTTAAGGTGCCTCGAACTCCAGACAACGTTAAATGTGTATCCAATGTCAGCTTACCATTTTCCACAAATCCAGCCTAATCAGCCTAGGGGGAAAAACCCTAAACAAAGACACGTCCCAAAGCCTGTTCGTCCAAAAGAAAATGTCTTCCCAAAAAAGTGCTTTTGCCAGATTTCTCGGGACTCGGCCATCAACTTGATGCCATGTAAAATTTGAAAAACAATGAAAATTCGGCACGTCTTAAGATGGGCTCAATTTATTGGTGAGTGAGAAATATTACGTTTATGATGCCACCGAATAAACAAGGTAGAGCTTGACAGGGCTTTTTATTTTATTAAATTGGATCAACCCCTTTTAGTACACTATTTAATCATTCCCAGTATTATGGTGTTAATAGTTAGAGAAGAATGAATGAGTCCGGAAAAGTATAGAGAAAATATTAAATAAACAAGTTTAATTATAATTCCACACTTTCGTTCAGAAGCTCTTCAATAAGCTTCCTCTCCTGATGTGAAACATTAAGGTTATTTCTCCCCCACAGCCCACAATACCACACTCTCACCATAAAAAGCAAAGAAAGCGATGGGGGAAAATGCAAAGTGTATATTTTAACAAAAAAGTGTACCGGTAAAACGCCTCCTCCCCCACCCCCGAAACAGCAGGAACAACAATGGGCTCTTTTAAATCTTAAAGCATAATTAAAAGCCAAAACAGAACAAAAATCAAAACTGCTGCTGTTGAAGTTAATATATTATGATGATTTGGGAATATTCGTTTTTTTTAAATAATTGATTTGTTACAGCAGTATGAGAAAACAGTCATCTTAAAATCTGAAGGGCTGAGTTCAATCTCTTTAGAATCTCCTGTAAGTTTTCGTGTCATTGTTGAGATCCAGACTCAGTCTCTCACTTGGAACAATGCCTTTGCGAAAATAACATATCCATTCAACGACCATTTATATGTGTGCGTCTATGCTTATAATAATAATAA